TTTTTTTGTTTTCGCTACCTCTCTGTCACTTTCTTCTGCTTTACCATTTTTGCAGCAATTCCACTTTTTGTTGATGGATGCCGAAACATTCTTTCGCTTTGTAGATCTTTGGCAGCTCCAGGATCGGAACTCTTTTAACATAATCAAAGTACAAGCTTACTTTTTATACATTGCTCTAAGTCTGCAAAAATAATAAGCCGGATCCAATTAGAAGATTAAGGAACAACGCAATCTGCAACATTAACTGAAGTAGATGATTTTAGCCTAGCTTATACCGTCCGTTATACATTAAACGTGCATGTGTAAATGTATTATGCACATGCGTAAATGGTACACATGCACAGAAAGTTTGTAGCTTTGAGGTCCGGATTATAGATCATTCTGGATTATGCATGTCCGGATTAAGGGCTTTGTACTGTATATGATAATTGAAATAATTATTCATATTCAAATTTTTTAAATTGACTGAAATATTTTAAATTTGGGAAAGATTTATTATTTTTATATAAATAGATCGGTATTGGTTCATTGCAAAATCAGTGTAGGTAGACTGTCTTATATAAAGCCAATGTTAAAAGTTTAATCATTTTATAATTTCCAGTAATTATACAGCAAAGCAAACTATGTTAACTAAGAATGAAATTCAAGTATAATTTATTATTTAATCTAGATTGTTGTTATAATAATTATAAATTAATAAACTAAAAGTGTAAATAAAAAATACTTCAACAAAAATTTTAATAAATTCTTGTCATATAAAATTTTTCAAAAAAAAAAAAAAAAAAAAATATATGTATTTTCTAAATTTGCTAAGAAATATCCTACCTTCTTTTTTTTTTTTTTTTTTAAATTTATTTGCCTATGAGCTTAAAATAATAGTTGAAAGAGTTTTTAAAGATTTGTATTTTGGAAAGTATATTCTTTTAAAATCCAATCACTTAAATTTAGTTCGACATTTTTCTCTTTTTAATTGGACAGGTGTGTAAACAAGAAATTGACTGCTTTTGTAGTCCCATATTTGAAATGAAAGAGAGAGATGGGCTGGATTTAAATTAAAATATTTTTCATAGACTTCAAACAATTCAAACAATTTTTAATGTTTTTTTTAATTGTATTCAACAGCTATAGTAAAATGTCATATTTCCCTCAGAAATTAAAATCTAGATTTATGAATTCAGTTTCGAATTTTTTTGGGATTATTTATTTATCTGTATATTTATTATCTCCAGCAATATGCATGCTTTTTATTTTTTTAGTTATTTTCCCGTATTTTGTATATTTGTTCTTTACTAAAATTCCTTTTATATTCAAAATTTTAGGTAATAAATGTGTTTTAAATTATGATTCATTAGCTATTGTAAAGCCAAGAGCATGTATTTCCCTTTACTTTTCATGTATTTAACATTATAGTAATTTTTTTCATTATCCAAATTGATTCATAAATGACCATATTCATATCATTAATAGAAGATTTTAATTTTGTTTTAGAATTTAATAATTGAAACACTTAAGCTATATATTTTTTAATAATTGATTGTTATGTAAATCATTTGGTAAATTTAAATTTATAGTATTTTTGTGTTATCACTTTCACAGTTATCTGTGTAAATGTAAAGTTTCTTAGCGTAGGTAACTGAAAAACGTGCATATAATGAAAAACACTTTTAGATATACATAAATATGCTACCTAGTTTGTGTACGTTTATATAAAAACTTGTAGCATTACTGCCTATGTACATATATGAAATTTTCTAGAAGAAATACTTATATAAAAACATGAATTTTTGCAGCAATTAATGCAAAATTGTTCTTTCTTGTAACTTGAACAGAAGAAAATATAATAAATCTATTATTAACTTTACATTTTTTATCTATATTATTCAATTGCAAATGCATTATTTTTTAGCTTATTTTTTATGTAATACAATCATAAATTTAGTTAAGTTGATATGCCTCTGAGATATAAATCATAAAAATAAAGAAAAGTACAGGATGTTAGTGAAAGATGCCTAACTATTGATATTAGGTGTATGCTTCTATTTTTAGTTTTATTGTAGATTAAGAGAATGAGAGATCAGTTTCATGGCTGGGGATGGATTCTGAAGATATAAAATCTATCTTTTTATTTGATCGCGATAAAACTGAAAGCTCAGTTAAGAATTCTTTAAGTTGTTTAATAATTTTTATAATTTTAAATAAATTAAATATTTTCCTTTACTTGCAAAATTAACAGAAGTATTAGAAAATAAATTTACTGTTTTATATAATTTTCAAATGTATGTTTTTGACCAAAATTAATTATTTTCTGAAATTTTCTCTAACCATGAAATATTTCACATTTTTACTTATTACAGCTTGATGAACATTTACATAATTGAATTTTTTATTGAGTCAATACAAAAGAAATTAAAAAATATGTATTTATTTACATCCAGATTTGAAGCTATTCTCATAAATTTCTCTGTCAAAAAAAATTTTGTGATTGAAAATAAATACCTGAGATCTGTAATTAAAGAAATAAGAACTATGAACACTTTCATGAGCACCCTGTATGTTTCTGTTATTTGAGAAATAAAGACACCTATTACAGACCACCATTATAAAGGAAACTAATGTTGTAAGATATGTCTAGAAGCAAATATGTGCATCTTGTCGAATTATTTGAAAAATATGTGAATTATCTCTTGGTTAAATGAGAGATTTAAATCAGTATTTACATTTTTTGTGGTCTTTAAAGTAATTTTAAAGAATAAGACAGGTCATCATAAATACTTATTGATAGCTAATATTTGAGTTTAATAGCTTTAAATGCTTATCTTTGAAATAAAAGTGTGATTAAGTGTTTTGTAGAAGCAGAATACTGTCAGTTGGGGGGGGATCAATGAAGTGTTTACCTGAAGTATAAAAAATGATGATGTGCAAAATTAATATGTAATGAATTAAATATTAATGTGGAAATGATAGTAAAAAGTATCTAGGAGGTGTAAAATATTATAAAATAAATAATATAAATAGAATATAACTTCATGTTTTTGTTAAATGTGCTTTAAGCTTTATACCTTCATGTTTTTGTTACGACCCATACTTTTTAATTTTTTAAATGCTTAATATCTTGTACAAACTGATAAAATTATCTTTTATTATAATTTGTTACAAGTTTTATATATAGATTAGAAAGCAGTCATTGGTAGATTGTAGTTTTAGATTTGTAAATTTAGGTTTTTTAATTTTCTAAGATTACTTTTAAAAAGGCAGAAAAAATACTTTTAAAATGGTGCATCAAAAAATTTAAATATACTTTGTTTTTATGTAGCTTTTCTACTAATAAGCAACATTTTATTCATTTGAAAAGCATATTTAAGTAAACTTTATTATTAATATTTAATTGTGCATATATTCATGCTGAATTAGCTTTGCATTTTAATATGTAGATTAAAGCATTCATTGTCATTACTTTTAATGTGTTAATAATAAGCTTTAATATGTTGCTGTAAAAGTAAATTTTGTTTAATTGTTACAGGCTGCACTTACGATATTTTAAGTGAATTTGAGTCTTCCACTGCTTTTTCTGGTGATGCAACTTCTCAGCTCTTCTGTGATCATTGTAATTTTGTGACAAATATGTTAAGGGATATGGATGCTCATCTTAAAACTCATGGAAAGAGTCACAGTCTTAAATGCAAACAGTGCCTAAAGCAATTTGCTCGAAAAGATAGTTTAAGAAGACACATCCTTGTCCATTCTCTTGAACAACCATACCAGTGTGACTTATGCAACAGATGGTTTCAACGTAAAGATAGTTTGGACAGACATGTAATTGGAGTCCACCTAAAACAAAAACACCGAAGAATTATTTCTTAACTTCATAAATATGCACATATTTGAATGTCTTTGAATGAAATATGTTGTTAAAATCTATACTATTTTAATAAAGATTTTTATTCAGAAAGATTTCAGGTATACATTTTTGTACTTATTTAAAACTAATAATATGCAGGAAGTTATGTAAAAAATTACTCATTTTAAAATTTTACAGTTTTTGCCAAAAATTTTAGCACGAAGTTTGAATAGAATTGCTAGTTTGGTTTAATTAGCATTTCTAATGTAAATAAATTTCTTTTTAGTGTGATCATAAATTCGTAATGAGAGAATTAGTACCAATTAGTAATGTAATTATAATATTTTCAACATCAAGATTTAAGAAAATGAAACACATATTACAGTCAAAAGTCGTTAATCCGGACTCATCGGGACTTCGGCGATTCCGGATTATCGATTTTTCCGGATTATAGATCATCAGTTTAAATTTCGTAAGATGGCATGCAAAAATTCTAAAATTAAAAATATGAAACCGTAATTTATGAAATAAAGAACAATTATGATCTAAAGGGTATCAAAATTTACAAAAAAAAAAAAAAAAAAAAAAAAGCTTAATATTTATTTACTTTATTAAACATTTCTTTCAATGTAAGTTGTTTAAGTTGCTTCATTTTATGTGATAATACTTTCTCTTTAATTCTACAAACAGACATAATTTCTTGTTCAGTTACAAAGTTCCGCTGTTCAAGTCCCGTTAATTGCTGTGCCGAGAATACCGACTAACTTGTCAATCGAAATTTTTTCGTTTTCACTAACCTCTCTGTCACATTCTTCATGTCTTTATCCATTTTTTGCAGCAATTCCACTTTTGTTTGTTGGACATCGAAACATACTTTCGTTTTGTAGATCCTTTGGAAGTTCCAGCATCGGAAATTCTATTTGACATAATCGAAAGTTCAAGTTTACTTTTATAAAATTGCTCTTACAGTCTGCAAAAAATAATAAGCGCAATCCAATTCAAAGATTAAGAAACAACGCAATCATAACATTAACTGAAATAGATAATTAGATAATTTTAGCTTACACCCTCCGTTATACATTAAACGCGCAGGCGAAAACGTATTCTGCACTTGCGCACACGCATATGCGCAGTAGTCAAGGTCTTACGCGCACGCGTAAAACGGCTGTGCGCATGTGCCGACGCGGCGCATGCGCAGAAAATTTTTAGCTTTGAGGTCCGGATTATAGATCATTCCGGATTATGGGTGTCTGAATTAACGACTTTTGACTGTATAACATAAGATTAGAAAGCATGAATTTTGATTGTTGAAAAGTAATCTGATAATCTGCTGCTTTATTACTGGGTAGTATATTTAAGTTTTAGATGTCTATTTTAAAGTTGAGGCTTAGTTTGAAGAAAAAGTGTAAAAGTAAGCTTTCTTTTGAAAACTAAAAGTTTTGTTCCTGTGTTTCTCTAAAGCATGTTTACTAGAATTTTTATAAATAAAATATAAAGCATGAATACTTATTTAACATTTCTTGCACTTTCATTAATGGTGATATGAGTTACATATATTGTAAATTTGTTTTTAAATGTGTAAAAACAAATTGATTATTATTAATCATCAAATGATGACATTTGGTGATTAATATTAAAGTTATACTGAATTTTCCCCAGTCTAACTGCATGCTACTTATCACATAATACTAATAAACAATCTCAGTAGATTGCTTTTTATAACTGCAAGTATTTCTAACTTCTAAATGTATGTAAACATTGCATTCATATATAGCTTCTTACTAAAATTCCACATTTTACTTTCTTTTAAACTTATTTTTAGTCAGTATTTACAAAAATAAATATTTATGTTCTTCGGAAAATGTGTCTTCTAGCAGATTCCACCATTTTGCAAGTCAGAAAGTCCTAGTCCGAAAAATTGAGATTTATATATTGGAGCATGACATAAATTGAAGCATAATATTAATATGCTTGTAAATAAAGATAAGTCTGAATCCTTATATTATTTCATAACTAAATTAATATACACGATTGTTGATAATATATCATTATTTTTAAAATTCTATTTTGTTATGCAGTAGCCAAAATACATTATAACTAAATAACTTTTTGTTGACAGGTTAAAATTTGTTATAAATTAAATTTGGATTATTTAACAGCATGCACAGTTAGATACTAAATTTGTTTATTTAAAACTTGACTTGTTTTCTATAGGAGTTATGGATAAGTTACTCTTCTCATCAGGTAAAATTTAGAGTGTACCAATTCACTCAGTTCTGCCATCTCATTCTTTCTGTCCTTTCCTTCATTTTCATATTTACCTACTAGAATTATTTTATATTGAGGGAATTAATTAGAATATCTAGTATAAATGTCAAATTGAATACTGAATATTGAAATGCCATGCTTAAAACCATTTATGTAGTTATGTCAGAACCTTTATAGATGATCTGCCCACATCCTAAGCTGGAGTTTAAGTGGTGTCTTTAAAATCATGGTTATTTCTGATACAATTAAGTAAACCAATTTTGTTTTAAATGTATGGTCGTAATATGTATGGTCGTAAATATTAATTTTTTTCCTTTTAATAATGGCTATCCAAATATATAATATTGTGATTGGAATTTCTCTACTTGCAACATGATTTAGTCATAAGTTTTATTGTTTCTTCAATATTAGGGCTGTTTATTTGAGCGTGTTTGCTGCTGACTAACCTTTAAACCTCACAATCCAGTTATATTCTTAAGTGTGGATGATTCATGTATTCAAATAAAGATGTATTGTTTTCATTAATATTGTTATTGCTGGATCTATCATTCTTGTGCTCTCTAGTTCTTGTTAATCTGCACTGATAATTGATTATGCATTCTGTGTTTAAGTTCCTGTTCTTTTATTGCAAATGTAAATGTTGTTTCTGCAATCTAATTAATTTCCAAATAGATGCTGCTAGTAATATTAACTTTATTTCTATATTTCTTGAAGACTGTTGTTACATATGTGGTATTTGATTCACAGGGATTTGTTTCAGTAAATTTATGTACATTTTGTTTTTGTATAGGCTGGAGCATTATATTAGTTATTATAGATGTTTTCACATAATTTTCCTAGCGAGTTTGTTATTAAGGATTTCTGCAAAATCTGGCAAATGTCTATTATTTCTCTTCTACTTGATATATTGATATTATATTTCATATAGGATACATATATGTGTGTGTGTGTGTAATATTTCTGGGAACATAGAAGAGTAATCAGCTTGCAGTCATCATGACTGGGAGTGTAAGGCAGTATCCAATGATGACAAAGAAGAATTCACCCTTTGGCATCTGAGTCTGTGCGTTGTTTGGTGCAGTGTGATACAACAGAAATGATGACATAGAAGAATTTAAATTTATAACTCTATCTTTATTCAATGTAAACCACAGATCATTATTCTTTTACATGAAATTCTGTAAATTAGATATCCAATAATGGTTTAAATTAAAATAAGGTTAAATTTTGGGTTTTGACATTATAACTATTCAAAAAAGGGAAGAATAATGGATAGAGAAGCACAGAGTCTTGTAGCAGCGGTAGTAGGAAGAAGACTGATGAAAAATGGCACGAATTCTACATTTATTGTAGCGGTTACATAACATGCCAGAATGTTCTCGAAAGTACTGGTCTAGGGGGAAGATCCTGAAATTGCGGATAGTTAATTAGAGGTTGCCTGTTCGTGTAAAGCCATCGTATTTTTTGTATTTCACACACACACACACATATATATACGTATATATATTCATATAGGACATAGTATAATTTATGGGATCTTTTGAGGTAAAAATTGAAAGCATTATCTTGTAAGTAGTAAGTAAGTTTTAATAAAGAATTATTGTTAGGTTGGCCAGTGATTCATGGTAGATTGCTGTTCTTATCTCATTTCTCAAGATAACTGGTTTAGAAACTGGAGGGTGTTATTGCATCATAGTTCATATATAAATAAAGAGAATTGTCTAAAACATGAGCTTGGGAAGCTTATGAAATTGTTCTCCAAAGAATAAATATATTATCTATTCAGAGTACAAGGTGTTTTTTGAATGAAAATAATTTAAAAAAAAACCTTTTGATTGAATGTTTGTTGATTTTTAAACTGTTAATAATTGTTAAATAATAAAATAATGAAGATTAATTAATTTCACTAATAATATCTATTTTTATTCAGAAAATTTAAAAGCCTTAAGATCATTTTTTGGACTATATAAAGTAAATATTTTTTTGGGATGCATATTTTTTTTTTTATAATAAAATCTTTTCTTATTTTTTTCCCCTCAGAGGTTTCATTCATATATGTTATGATTTAAATTCTGATATGTAAAGAAGAAGTTTGCAGTCATTTCTGATTTTAATATTTCTTTTTATTTTCACTGACAAACACTTCTAGCTAACACAGATATAATGGGGCAGTAAGTGCTTGTTCTTGTAGAATGACATCAGTACCATATAGAATTCTGAATTATATTCAAAGAATGAAGCGTTAGCAAAGTGGGAGAGTAAATGTAATAATGTGACCGATATGAAAGTTCTAAACATTATGTAAGAATCGTGATGTGGATTAATTTTGAAATGTCACTGTTTAGAGAGATTTGTTATAAGGAAATACTATTTTTAGGATGAAAGAGGCATTACCGAAATTAAAATAGAAAGTTAAAAGACTGTACAAAATTAAAATCAAAGTATTACTGTACATATTAGTTAGAATTTTGCTTTACATAATTTTTATCTTACGTTTAACTCCCTTCAAAAAGAAAGAAAAAAAAAAAAAAATAGTGACAGAAATGCCTTTTTAGAAAAAAAGTGTTATTGTGTTGAAACTGAAGAGAATTTACAAAATTTTGAACTAAATAATAATTTTTAAATAATATAAAATATAAATTTTGAACATCAAAGTTTGGAAAATTAGTGTAAATTTTAAGTCCTATTAAAATTTCAGTATTCAGCTGAGTTTAAAATTACTTCTTTGCAAAGTCCAAATAATTATCATTCTTCAGGTAAAGTTAAGTTGCTGACAGAATACCAGGAATTAAAAACATTTTTACTCATTACTTATCTTGATACATTATGATGTAAAAATGATTTAAATCTGTATATGTAAAGAAGAAACAGTCATGTCCAATTTAATTTTTTTTTCTTTCTTGTTGCAAAATATTTTTAGCCAACAGAGATAAAGTGATGGAGTAATCTGTTGAGGAATTAGATCTATGTATAATTTTGAATGATATTTGAAGAAAGAAGCAATGGCAAGTTGGCAGTATCAAAGTGGGAGAGAAAACGGGATATATCTAAGATGAAAGTTTGGTGAAGACAGAGTTTTACTTCAGTTTGATTGGTTGTTTGAATTTCAGTTTGCAAAATTATCTGCATCATTAGTGTTATGCAAGAATCATATGACACGGATTAATTTTGAAATCTTACTCTTTAGAGAGATTTATTATAAGCCAGGTACTGTTTTTAGGATAGAAAGGGGAAATACCAAAACTAAACAAGAAATTCAAGGCACTGTTGCAAATTAAAGTTAAAAATTTTTATTGATGTAAACTTTTCATCTAATGTGTGTATGTTACCGTGAAAGACCGAAATTGGAGAATGTCGACTTTCACCGGAGAATGTCAACATTCACCAAATACGTCGGTGAAAGATCGAATATTTCTTTACATTCTTGTACATTCGGACCCTCACCGGTGTATGTTGACAATCACAGATATCCTGTGGTGTAGGTCGAAAAGAGAGGAGTATATGTACACGCTGCCATTCCAAAAGGAAGTGTTCCACAAATAAATGCAGTTGTAAAAGCAAGGGCCTCTTGTGCAATTCAAAGTGTCATAATAGTTTAAGTTGTTGCAACAAATAAGATTTGAATCACATAATTTGGTAAGTTTATAACTTCTATTATTTTCCTTTCTCATTTTGAATGTACTGTGTGTTTTAAGTTCTTATATTCTTAAGTTCTTATTCTGAGTCTCAAGTGTGTTTTTTCGTGAATGAATTACTGAGAAGGAAATATAATATTCTTATATGTTCAACATTCACCATTAGTACATGGTGAATGTCGACATTCACCGGTGTAAGTCAGAAATAAGAGTATTTGGAACATATTTCGGACATACACCAAGCGACTATGTGAATGTTGACTTTCAGCGTGAAAGTCCACATTCTCCAGATTTCGATGTTTTACCGTAACATATATATATTGAATTAATGAACTGAAGTTCATTGAAATCAAAATAAATTCGCTAAGGCTTGCGCAATACATACAAAGTAAGATAATAATTTATTTACTAAAGTAATATTGATTATATTATCTCCTAATATAAATTTAGAAGAATGTATCTAAATGAAAAAACCCAGAAGTATGAAATTTTGTTTAATGCCAAAAATAATATTTTTAAAGGAACTTGAATTTAAATAATGAAAAATTGAAATGCAAACTATGTGCATGTGTTTGTTATAGGAAAATATGTATGTATATTTTTGTGTAATATAAAATTTTTTGAATTGCACTGTGAAAATATTGCATATAATGTATTTTTCATATTCATTATGTATGGATTTGTATTGTATTTATGGCCATAGATGTATGTAGTCATATAGTTGTACAGATTCTGTTCAAAATAGTGAACTGAATAAGTGATACTAAAGACTGTAGTTTTTTTAAAATAAAATTGTACCGATTAAAACTTTTTATTCATTTCAGACATATTCTGAAAGCTTAAATTAGTTAAAATATTTTAATGTACTTTAAATTTTTAATTATTGTCTTAGTATTGTTTATTCATTTTGTGTATTTTCCGAATAATATTTATCTTTTTATTTTGGAAGGCTCAGAAGACAACGTCATTGCTGAGTTACCTTATTTAGTAGATGCAAATGATCTTGACAGTGCTCAGCACTACAAATGTTCACAGTGCTTTTTCATTTCCGACAGTGAAGAAGTTTTGCAGAGTCATATATCGTATGTACATGCAACACCACGACCATATCAGTGTCGCATCTGTAAAAAGTTATTCAGGCAGAAGAAATGTCTAACAGAACATATGCGACTTCATACTGGAGAAAGACCTTATGCTTGCAAGATATGTCAAAGAAAGTTTCACACTTACAGTAGCCTTCATTATCATCGTCGAAGCCTTTATCATTTCTAAAGTATGCTGTTAAATATATTATATTTGCTAAATAAAAATATTCATATTTCTTAGTTGAATTTTGAAGAATTTTATATGAATTAATACTTCTGTGTGACTGAATTTTGTAATACTTTTTATTTAAAATTTTTGTTGCTTAGTTTAGGTTATTATTTAAATACTATTTTTCCCCACTACTTTACTAAGCTTAAATGTTTTTTTAAAATTGAATTTATCCAAGAATATTTAGCGTTATGCATAGATACTGTAATTATTTTTCTTCTTTGTTATGTTGTATTTGATATTGAATATATATTCAGATACTTCAGTTTACCATTTTCAGTAAATTGCATCAAACGTATTTTACTGAGGTAGACAAAATTTAAGATAGACTACACTGGTGTGCAAAAATTAAGGACGAGACGGTTTTTTCAATATAACTTTGTACAAAAGCTTTCCAAATCAACACATTTAATACCGTAAGATCCCCAATACGTAAGGACATGAGTAATGTAAGCAACACTTACTAAAAGAGAAATCAGAGGAATAAAAAGAAGCTTTATTGAAAAAGTAGCATGGAGCGCAATGCGACTGAAGGCCGAAACATCCCTGTAATGGGTGTCCAGCATCCCTGTAATGGGTGTAAAATCCGGTCTTTAATAGGGGATATGATCTCCCCTGACTGCTAGGCAGGTTTCACAGCGTCTGCCCATGCTGAGAATGAGGGTGTCAATGAGTTGTTGAGGCATTGCTGCCCATTCGTCTTGCAGCGGTAATTGAAGCTCCGGAATCGTTACTGGTGGTAAGGTACGAGCTGCCAAGCGTCTGCCTAGAAAATCCCATACATGCTCGATGGGATTGAGATCCGGAGATCGTGCCGGCCAATCCATACGTTCAATATCCTAACTCACTCTCTAAGTTTGTTCGGCAGCTACTGTGCGATGACATGTGCATTGTTGTCCATGAAAAGAACTGCGGACCCATAACACCTCTAAAAAGACACACATATGGAAGAAGAAATCTCGTACAATAACGGGTCCCCTTGACTGAACCTGCGTCGAAGATGTGAAGGTCTGAACGACTACCAAGCATGATGCCTCCCCAAACGAGAACACTGCCACCTCCATACCTGTCCCTTTTAATGATGTTCGAGGGATGATTGCGGCTTCCCCACTCTCTTCCGATGAGTATGCGATGAGAATCGCTACTCAGACTGAATCTGCTCTCATCTGTAAAGAGTACTCGTCCCCATTCATTGTCTCTCCAGTTCCGGTGTTCACGGCACCACAGAGAATGCCTTCTCCGATGAGCAGGCGTTAGAGGTACACACCGTACAGGGCGTTGTGCAAACAGACCACCACCGTGCAGTCTTCTGGCCACAGTAAAACGCGATATCGGTCGTCCAGTTGCCTGTGTCGTGTGTCTAGCGATTTCTCCCGCTGTCTGCCGCCTGTTTCTTCTGGCCTGTAAGCCAATATAACGGTTATCTGCGGGTGTGGTTCCTCGTGGACGACCACTACTAAACCCCTGGATAGCAGTTCCTGTAGTTTGAAATTGTCTCCAAAGTCGTGAAACGATGCTGTTAGCAATTCCGAACTCTACAGCCACACTTGTCACACTGCGGCCTCCAACTTCCCAATGATTCGAACTCGGGTAAAAGCATCTACATGTCATCTAACAGATTGATTATTCGCCATTTCTCGCTGAGGCAGCAACTCGGTGTGATTTTAACTGCAATACAGCGTGCAATCTCTTTGCCAGAAATACTGATCTTACACCAACAACATGCTTTATACTATTCAGACACTCCTCCATTACGTCTACCTGCATATCTGCGCATGTGCTACCATACATCACCTTACTTAATCTCCTGATTGGTCTTTCTGTCCGCTCTGCCTCTTCGTTCAGCTGATATGCTAATTTTTTGACTTCGTCCTTAATTTTTGCACACCAGTGTATTTCAGATTGTTAAAAGTAACTAACTCTACAAATTAGCCAAAATCAAAATACAGATATACTGCAGTTGATAAGAAAAAAAGTATTGAAATCAAATATTGGATTAGCCAAAAGTTATTTAAAAATTTTCTGGAAGTTAATTTCATTCTTTTTCCCCCTCTTGTAATGTTTTTCGAAGGTAGCATATAGACAATTTTAATGTAATATGAAACATTTTTTTTGAGAATACGATTTAATTACTGACATATCCTATTTTGAATTGAAAGTTATCAAAATCATGAAATGCCCGATTAAAAAAATTAGTCACATTTTACTTTCATGAAGGTTAAAAGAGCTACAGATATCCAAAAAGATTTGTGCTGTGCATAATGATGTATTTATAATGAACAGAATGGTGATTTGAACTTTTAAAAAAATAATGGATTAATTTTTTTTTTGTATGAGAACACCTTTTGACATTTGAGGGGTGTTTTGTGCTCCGGGGAATTTGAATTTCGATACCGGAATTCCGGGGATCTCGTTCAAAAGGAAGTAGGAATAATAATGAATTATTTATTTTGATCTGGGTAATTTTGTTTGCTTTGAAAGCAGAAAACGCAAGGTCAGTGTGTGTGGTGAAAACTTTTCCTTTCTTTCTCCAAAGGCAGTGATAATGCGTGAAAAGGGGGAAAAAAACTTCTTTTTTGTTCTTTCCTTATTGCGAGTTATGACTCATTCCCCCGGTTCTCGGACATTCTCTTCTGGATTCTTTTCGGCAAGTAGGCGCGGCAGAAAAAAAAAAGGGAGAGACTTCGTTCGACCAGATGTGCGATCACGTGACTCTGGGTTCAAAGGTCTTATCTCTCCTGGCGTGGCGCCAATAAGTAGAGAAGGGGGATTTTTCGCCGTATTAGCTATTTGTCATTGATCGCTTCTCAACTTTTTTTTCTCCGCTGTGTAAAATTTTCGTTTCATTTATTGATGCACGTGTAAATTTTTCGTTTCGTTTATTGAAATATTTTTTTTATTTATGTACGCAAGAGAATTTCACTATGAAATTTCTCGATATAAATAGTGATATTATACAATTAGAAGAAGGTGTCCGGAATGCATTTAGGTGGAATTGGATTGAACGGAGAGATGGTAATGGGGATACCATCGGCACATGGTGCAAGAAAATAAATGTTGCTGGACAAGCATATTGTGTTTTTTGTAACTCACTGCTGAAGTATGGTGGGGAAGGATTCAAGGCTTTCACAAATCATTCTAAAACTGTGACGCACATAAAATATTCAAAGTGTGCATTAGACATTCAATGACTTTAAGTAATTATGCTAATTCAAAAAATACTGATGACTTACTGGAGACTGATGCTCGGCCATTGGATATAGTGACAAGAAAAGCACGCCAAGAGGTATTAATAACTTCGTTTATCGCCGAGAATTCTCTTTCTTTCAATGTAGCTCCCAATTTAATTGAACTCTGCAAACAGTTGAGCCGCGATCAGACGGCACTAAACTCGTTGGAAATGTCCAGGACTACTGCATGTTATAAGATGAAATATGGGCTCGCAAAAACTATTAATGGAAATATCATTAAAACTTTAAAGGAGACTCCATTTTCTCTAAATTTGGATGAAAGTACTAGCAATGCTCAAGAAAGTATACTGGCAATATTGGTGCAGTTTTATGACAACAATCAAAATGAAGTTGTAGTTCATCATTTTGCATCTCTAAAGATGGAATCTTGCAATTCAGAAGCTGTTTTTAAAGCAGTTGTTAATACTATTGAAGATAATATTCCATGGGCAAACTTAATTAGTGTATTAATGGACTCATGTAACACCATGCGTGGAAAAAAAAAAGGGTGTTGAAACCAGACTACGATCAAACAAAGCACCCCACTTATTAGATATTGATGGTGACACATGTCACACAGCTAATAACTGTGCAAAAAAATTTGCTTCATGTTTTGATAGATACTTAGAAGATTTGTTTGATGACATCTATTTTGATATGAAAAGCTGCAGTAAAAGAGAAAATTTTTTTCAAAAATCTGTGAATCCCTTGCCATTAAAAAACTTAAGCCCTTGAAGAGACCAGACCATAGGTGGGTGTACATTTTATGTGTTTTAGAAAGAATCAAAGATCTGTGGGATGCTCTTATTGCATTTTATTTTCACTACTTGGATAAAACTGATAAAGGGGATTATTTTTCTTATGTTGAAACTGTATACAATAAAAGAAATATTTCTGCAGCTCAGAAAAAAATTGTTGAAGGGGTGTATTCTTGCTTGCATTCCCAACAACTCACAAAGGATGCTTTAGCTCGGAAAAAAAGAATACTAAATGGGTTATTTGTTATGCAAAACAAAACTTTATTGCATATGGCATTATATTCAGCAGTATTACCAGAGTTCAACACATATATTAAATTATTTGAAACAAAAAAACCAATGCTTCATTTAATACATTCCAGTATTTATAAATTGATGGCAAAATTTTTCTCTTTTTTTATGAAGCCAGAAAATATAGAGTGCACATCTTATAATGATTTATTAAAGGTTGATGTCACAAATCCAGAATTCCATCTACCTAGCAAAGTAATATTTACTGGTGCAGAAGCTTCCACTCTCCTGAAGAAATTATCAAAAAATCATCCAATAGCAAAAGAATTCCAAATTTCTCTGATGAAAGCTTATACTAATACAGCACAGCATATGAAACAGAAATTACCCTTTAAAAATTCATATCTAATTAGTTTTACAGCATTAGATCCAGAGCTAAGAGGTAAAACCAGTACAATATTAGCTTTTGAAAAATTATCATCTTTTATGTCCCATATTTTTAGTGATAATGAAAAGTCAAAAGTAGAAGCTGAAATAAGGTTATACCAGAGTGATATTGATATCACCAAAGAAATGCTCTACACATCTGATGAAAGTGGAAATCAAGTCAAGTGTACAATTGATAAATATTGGTCTAAAGTTTTTAATTTAAAAGATGATTTCACAAATGATTATAAGTATCCTACATTGGCTAAATTGGTCAAAGCCTGCCTTAGCTGCTTCCATGGCCCATTAGTGG